TATAGTATGGCCAGTACACACAGTCTCAAGACATCATGAAATATATTGACTGATACGCCATACATATATATGAGACATACGTAAAAGTTGTATTTTTGGAAACGTATTACAATTCATACACTAGTTATCTCATTGTTGTAGGAACTAGGCAAAAAAATCAAATTTCCAGCTGCATTTGTTGAGGTTATATGTTAATAGATCATCTAGTATGTCAGGACAAGTCATTTTATATGGATAGATTATAGAAACCCATTAACTCCTCCCATATAAATTTCTCATCTCTAAATTAATCGTTGGTAATATATTATTTTTCAGTAAAATATTTATAAATCACTTGTATATTTTTTACAATAGAATCTACATAAATATGACGAAAAGAAACAACAATTACAATATAAATGTATATAGATATTTTTTTGGTGAAAATCTATTTAAGCCACTGGTAGAGCTGCATTTGTGGTCATTATGGCTTTTATCAGAAATTGAAGGATCAAAAGAAGAGATGAAGAGAAGGATAATCATATCCTTATTCGCCAAAAATATATCCTTGGGGTCGGGGGCAACAGCATCGTTGGAAAAAAGTGCCTATCTATTTGGGCGGCTCTATTGATATCGTCGTCTTTCATCGATTTTCTTCTATTATTATTTTAATAGGTTTTTTAATGACTGGGTCAAAGAAGTGTCATTTTTATGAATATAAAGGATCTGAGAAGTATCTTGTACATGTTTATGTAGTTAAATGTTTACTTTTATTATCAATCTGTTTCTTTGCATGCCATTATTTAACTCATAACCCCCTAACTCATGTACCATAAATCCGATCTTCATGTTACTAGAAAAAATCGTTGAAGAAAAAGTAACTAACCTCCATGATAAATAGATATATTCCTCCATATGAAATGTTGTAGACTATCAATAAATTAATTTAGTTAATTAATTGCCTCCGATGAACTTCCAAAATATAACAATGCAAGCAAATTAAAATCTTTCACAGCTACAAAACCCCATTAACGCATTTACAACAGGTTCTTCGCCGGTTTTTGTAACAAAATTTTTTTTTGTACATGATATAACGAATAAATTCATATTTTGTAGTCTTTAAAACATATTTTTTTTTATTCATGTATAATTTATTAAAAGTAATTATATTGTAATTATCAAATTTTACATTAAAATTTTTAGAAATTTTTGTTATGACTGTATAATACATACGGTAAAGGACTAAATATATCTGTTATTATGTCTTAGCATTAAATACTTGTATAAAAATTACTCGTATAGAAATTTTTACAGAAAATTTTGCTAAATATAGGTCAACATATGAATATCGCCGTGTGGTCCCGGCATAGAATAGGCCAACCCTTACTTTTTCGTCGGTGTCATAAGAATCGATTAAGGGAGAGCAAGGGATGGGCAGCAACGTCCCTCTTAAAACATCTTTAAAAACCTAACTGCGGTTGCCAACTCATCTGCCAAGCATGGAAACTACTGGCAAAACTTCCCTTATTGGGAAGGCTTATGTTCAGCTATGGAGAGTTAACGGCTGAAATAATATTAATATGAAGTATAGAAAGTTTAAAAAAATTACGCCCTAAAGTGATTATTTCTTAACGTAAATTATATTCATCTATTAAATATCGAGTTTTATTTGAATAAAGTAGGTACCAGCGCGAAACTTTGCCGGCTAATCAGGAAGATGCACAGCAGGAAGGTAAGGGTCGCAATCATTATTACTACGCATCCCCAGTAAGTTATTACTTCAGGGCGCCTACGTCGTTTATTATAATAAAATCTTTTCTGCGATCCCTTGAGAAATTTTATATTGAATTTTTTTAAATGAACGATTTAACACTGATCAAAGTGGTGTTGAAGGTAAGAATATACTCAAGTGAAAAGGGTCTCACTGGAGCCAGCCTTTCTCGTATCGTCTGTGGAGGAATGAATTTCTCTATTGAAAAATAACCTTATTTGTTGACGTCTAGTATGCTACGGAGGAAAATAAATTTGGTCTGGTGGATATGGGGAGCCCCGGGATATTCGCAAACGACGTTTTATTGAATGCATCCCTTTAACTTTGTTTTTTATTACTGACTTCTCACTGTCATATTCTATAAAATATTTTGAGATGCCAATAGAGTCCACTTATATTGATTAAATTTTATTTATGTAGGTAATAAAAAAATAATAAAGCTATAGTCCAATAAGATCGAGTTAATATGAGATTTAATTGTTACATTTTATTTATATACTTTTTGTTTATTCTTTGATTAAAAATACATCAGTACGTTATAGGTACTACTCGTATTTGTACGACCTTTATGCAAAAACGGACTATAATATTTTCCATAAGTAGATGATTTATATGATACGCTGTACAATTTATGAATTTATTTGTTTTTATCTCATACAATTTTTCATAATAAAAAATATTTATTTACTTTACAAGTATGCTACGTAAATAAATTAGGTTAATAAAAAAATTACTTACATATCATAATTAGTAGATATTGATAAATACACTTCAGTACAGTAGTTAGTGGTTACTGTACATATAATATAATCAGCATTACTATGGAATATTCCCCGTCGTAATTGATTTATTGCCAGATGGGGGGCAAAGATGTCCCGTTTCGCACATTATTCACTAAAAACATCATAGTTACACTACGCGAGACAGCGGGGAAATGGAAATCTATGTTTTATATAAAGATCCTCGCCATTAGGCAGGATAAATTTGCGTTTATAGCTCTTGTTTCATTCATTGGAAAAATATATACAATGTATTAATTTGTATTACTCAGGTAATACGTGTATAAGGCAACAAATTTACTGGTTTTTATTTATTAAATCAATACGAAATTATTTTTGTAACAAAACCCAATTAATCTGTTAACGTATACTTCGCGATTTGTTTGTAATGGAAATTATATGACTATATCTGTCAGTTTTTTTAATGTATTTAATGCAATTTAAAATAGGAGGTAAAAGAGAAAGTGGAAGACCTAGTAATAATATGGTGCAGATAAAGGAAAGGTGTCCTAGGTGTCTGTCGTATGGAGAGATCAAAGATATCGCCTGGGATAGAGCTGGCAGGAAGAAAATGTATAAATTTGTTGCATCAACAAGAGGAAACTGTTAAATGAAAAAAGAGAGAAACCCATTTGCGCTATCGGAATACGCTGGCGGGGTACCAGTAGGGGATGATAGGTGAAGATGAAAGCAGATCAGTTAGCGTATGGAGACAAATTCAATTCAAACTACGATAGTTTTCAGGTGAAACCGCATGGAGATCAACCTGAGAGGATATATTTTCAGCAATGGGTATGTTAGACCCCATTACTAACAAACCCTTTTCCCCATATGTCAGGTTGATTACTACGAGGGCCGCCTAGAAACTATTACCTATAGTTAAATTGTGGTGAATTCGTCACAATAAAGCAAGTGGTATCACGCCAACGCAGACATGCTACCATTCCTGGCCGTTTTTTTATTTATAATAATATGTAGAAACACTATGATATCAAGAAGTTTGATGAGAATAAATTTTAATTGACTTTGATAAGGATATAAAGTATTAATAAATTTTGATACGCTGCCTACCCGCTTAAAGTAGATTCCTATTTAGTCAATCCATTCAAGCCGTTTCGAAGTTAATTGCTCAATGTGGATAATTCCCACATTGACGATTAAACCTACGATTAATGTTCAGAGAGCCGACTACAACCGGTTCATGGACAATATTGCGCTTTATTTATACAATTTTATCACAGTTGTTTTACAAATTGTTTTGTAAATGTCTTAGGTATTTATGCTATGATTTGACCTGCTTTACGCAGTCGATATTAAGCCACTAAGTAGTTAACGTATCTTGGTCTGGTATCTAAAACAGTACATACTGATTCTATCGTATTTTATCTATGATAGACGGAGTATATGCTTATGTATTTACCACCTTCATAGTAAAAATAATATTTGTTTTACAGCAATTATACTAACCTACTCTTACTTATTTTACTAAAATATTGCAACGGGTATCCTATTTTTATGAGGCAGAAATTGGTATGAGAATTTACCTGGCGAGTCACAAACATTTAATTTTATTAAAAATAATCAATAACGAGGGCATAAAATTATTTAGTTCTATCGATAAAAAATTAAAAACAAAATTAATTTGAAACAATAATTTAAATCCATTTTACGTATAATAGATCCTATACAATTTTCCTTCTGCGTTAACTCGTTGAATATTTAGTTACAGTTAGCATTTTATGTATTGTTACCTTCGACGGACAAATATAATAGTTTGTGGCGATGGACTGTCTTTGATTTTGTGAAAATTTCCATATTACCGAATATAAATGAAATTCTATTTCATTATAAGCGTTAATAGCTGACTGTTGTCTGTTCACGTTGCTGACGAAACTCGCGCTCTGCTTGTTTGATGTGATGGCAAAATAGTCAAAGAAAATTTGTTCGAGCAATTGTTCAATTTTGAAACTGTTCAAACCACACTTCTCATTACTACAACTCTCTCCTAATAGTGAAATCTCGTTTCTGCCGAATAATACTATAGTGATTTATATTATGATTTGAAATAACCATTGCCAAATACATGCATTATTCTCTCGCAATGTATTCGAATGCATGGAATAGCAACTACCAGTACTAGTGAAGGTTGGTTTTGTATTATTGGTGTAATATATTCGTAAACCTAAATATATGTCGTAAGTTAGAAAAAAAGGCGGATAATGGAAAATACGTACCTTCAATACTTATTGAGAAAAAGTTTCCTAATATTTACTTTAATAAATTTAAAAATTCATAAATTGCCTGTAAACAGTAGGTAGTAGTGGTCGTTCTCTATCTCTATTTCAATTATGTATATTAGATTAACTACGTTGAATATTTTTTTAAGGTAGCATAGAAATTTAAAGAAAAACTAAACATCATTATTATTAAGCTAATATAAATATCATATCTAAAAATAAAAGATATTTGTAATAATATTTTTATTTATTTACAGTTCATCAACAAGGTTTTTAACATAGAAGTAAGATCGACCCGCGATTCCCTGAAATCCGATTTTGGCAGCAGCAGCTTCACATTCATGCTCATTTGCGGGCATGTGATCCAATCTCGCCAAAGCATACGCGGTGAGATCTTCACAACACATCATTGCTATGTAACGCCCCACCATCTTCATTCGAATGTCTGCAAACTTAATCAGGGGCAAGGGATGTGGCTGAACTGGAATAATATTTAATGAAACGCTGTGTCTTCTAATAAAACCACTATTGTCTTAGCTAATATTATTGGAAACTTGTTTGGATTTCAATAGTGTCTATTCGGGCTAATAATATATGAATTATTTGTTTAGGTATTAGGTATGTACAAAATGATCAAGCTAATAAGTACTCACATACCAATTATTGTAGATTGTGCTTTATTTATAATCTTACAGATTATAGATAATATCAAAATAATAAGTATATAAATCAAATAATAAAATATATAAATCAAATAAATTGTGGCACACATAATACAATGACATCTAGTTACAAACTGATCAGAGATCATATTGTATGTTTCAGACATACAAGTGGTAGATATACATAATATATTATAATAAATACAAAGGAAATCCAGACCAAAATTCATGAATATATTATATTTGAATTTTGTAAATCTCGCGACCATTGGAAAGTGAGTCAGTATGCCAGTATTATGATAAAAGCCCTCGGGTGTCACAGTGTATTCTATGATCTTCATCGTGTTCTTCATGCATATTTACAGGGGACGCTTACTCGTACCATCTGGTAGGCCGTCAGATTGCCTACATCGTCAAGTTGTATAAAAACAGAACATGAGTTATGCATTATATGTTTTACTAGCCACCCACTCTAGCTCCGTGCCCAAAAACTGTTTTTCGAAATTGATTAGGAAACTTGTATGGCTATTTATCTCCTTTACATTTTTAATACACATATTTTATATATAATAATATGATAACAGCAACAAAACCATCAAGTTGTTATAAAGCCTTATGTAAATAGATACACAGATAAACTGATGTTGAGAACGACTTTATTTATATTAAATCTAGTAGGAAAATTAAATAGGACAAAAATAATGAATTCTATATATATATATATATATATATATATGTGTGTGTGTGTGTGTGTGTGTGTGTGTGTGTGTGTGTGTGTGTGTGTGTGTGTGTGTGTGTGTGTGTGTGTGTGTGTGTGTGTGTGTGTGTGTGTGTGTGTGTGTATTAATTAATCATAAAATGTTTACATAAGGTCAAATTAAAAATCACGACATTCGATTTGCTTATTTAATTACATTTATTAAAGGGTCGTGGTTGCGGTTGAGCCCAGCGGCAGGTAACAAAAGATTTAATTTTATATGTATATTAGGTCCGAATCGGGAGTGAATTTCTATAAATTTGAATAATTACATCACATGATTAAAATTGTTCAAGTAAAATCCTTTATTTTAAAATTATCTTAATAATGTGAGTACACTTTACTACTTTGTTTTTTATTTACATACCTATATTTTTTGCACGAAAGGAGTGGTTAACGAGTAAAACTGTTACGATCATTAGCAAAGAACGGTGAAAAGAAGAAAAAGTTGTTTGAAATGCGACCTGTTTATTATCATTGAGTCAAGTCAGCCGGCAAAAGTTATATAAGAGCGGAAATGGCGCTTGGGAGGGCAAGAATGAGGCCGTGGCACAATATTGTCCTACCTTTAGTACGTTGTTCTTTCTTGACGAGAGCACGAAAGGCGCCGGGCGTCCCGGCGTATAACAGTATAACCTGCAGTCCCGGTCGTGGTTCCATGATCAAGGCTGCTTTGTACCATTCCACGTCCAGATATGGGTCCACTGTCTCTACCAATGCTTTTATTTTTTCCATTCTCTAAATTAAACGTTTAATATTTTGTTATGAAGGTAAAAATTTTACATGTAGCGTATCAGGAGAACATAATTATAAAATACGCTTTTACCAGCGACTTCACCCACGTGACCGGGATATGTTTACTTACCAGGTTAAAAATATCCTATATCCTTCTCCATCCCGTATAGTACGTATGTATATACCAAATTTTAAAATTTTATACTGGTTGGTTAAGTCGGTAAGGCGCTAAAAGTAACAAATAAATAAACTCACTTTCACATTTACATTATTAATAAGGAGTAACGATTTCAGATACTTCCATTATTCTGTGTAACATTTATATTTTCGTCTACCTTAATAGACGAAATTTAAAAGCAGTTTTACATAATATAATTTAAATTACATAGGTATAGATTAGATGGATATTTGCCGCTTATGAAATCAAATTGACTTCCTCTCTTGTGTGCTACCCGTAAAGCCCAGCTTAGTGTTTGAAAATTAATTATAACAAACCAGAGTTTTAATCTCGGGTGTTTGGAAGGAAAAAGTTTATTAGATAAATGACTCAAAAAAGATTTATTTTGGTTTATAAATACATTAACGTTTATAAATTAGTTTTATATTTTCAATTAATTTTAAGAAAATGTAAGTGAGCATTGGTAAATACATGCTAGGGTCTATCTGCAGAAATGTCTATATATGAAAGACCCATGATGCTGTTTTGATTTATTTAGGTGAATTTTAGGTTTTACTTCCTACCATGCGGATTATCAGTTTGTTTGTCATTCCAAGTTATAGATATAAAAGTATGAAATGTTTATACAAAGTTTAAACAAAGATTTACCTTCTTTGCAGGTAGAGAAAATATAATTGGATATATCTCCGTATTCTCTGCCCAAAAGTAAAATATCTTCCACATGCTATCAACAACATCGTATGGGTTGAAGTGTGCACCACGCTCGAATTCTTCACAAGTAGTGATGTTGTCCGCAATTGTTTTGCCTGGCCCCGCCGCCGCACTGAACAAAACAATTTCGAATATCTGAATCCAAGTAAACATCTTCTCTCGCGGTCCGTAAGCAATATCCCTCTGTTGTTTACGGATATTGAATATATAGTACAGTAAGTTGCAGTACATGTATATGAATGCAGTCTACAGAGTATCCACCTGTATCTGCAGATGCGCTTAACTGGGATTTGAACAAATAGGTGCCTTGATTTACCTACTAATGAGTTATGACTATAACACAAATAATTTCATACTAATACCATGTTCATATATTACTAATACCTGTAGAAGTTTTACTAATACAAATAAGAAGATATCGAGTTGTAAGTACTTCTATCTAAATTTAGTTAATAATTTTCTGTAGTAATCTATGCTTAGACCGGAAACAAAACCGTGGTTTGGCAATAAATAACGTGGTATTACTGAGGAGGGTAAACGGAACGGTTTAGTCAAATTAGTTGTATCTACAAGGTATATAGCACACAGAGGTAACCCATATCGCGTAGGTAATATAATGAATATAAATGGACGTTCTTTAACGTTATCGATTCTCTGTTTGTTGTTATTGGAACACTCAAGGAATTCATAACAAAAAGATTCAGTATAAATTCGTCATGAAAAAACAATAATATTTAAATTAATGTTTTTAAGTAATAAGTATATCTACTTGATTAAAATTACATTGTTTCTTCTCAAATTACATATTTCAACAGGAAATAAACACCAATTACTTGGTCTTCTACAATGCAATTAGGAAAATTATTAAATAAATATAATAATATTAATTTGTTATGTTTAGTTAAGTATAGCCAAATTAATTTATGCACACTCTTTGTCGTTCTCTTCAAAAGATAATAGAATACAAAAAATAAGAGAAACAGATTACACAGAGCTTTCAGGCCTGTCTTCCAGGCAATCTTTCAATAGAGTGAAATACTTAATCATAAACAGTACCTATAATCGGAAGTACACACATTTTCCGAATGGTTATTAATTAACTATATCATTGTTATAAACTACATATAGGTATTCCATGGTTTGGGGTTTTCAAGATTGACGTATGGTAATCAAATCGACCGTAACTTACTAATGGTAATGCGACGCAGATTACATATGCTGTGTGATGTGAATAATTTATGGAAACATAGGTAGATGTAAATTCCACATCTCTTGCAATCCATGTAAGGTGGAAGTAATTTCATATATTACACAGTGTTTTAGCCAAATTTAGGAGCGAAATATATTAGAGGAAAAATATTTTATCCATCCTTTGGTTTATATTTATCACCAGTGAGGGTGAATAGGTTCTGCGCAATCCGCATCGGAGATTCCTTCTCGGCTGCAGGTCGTAAACCACCCGTCTAGTTGTACCGGAGTAGGTACGACCCGGCTTTAGTGACTATATTTTTCTGCAAAGTCAAATCATATGTAACTACCGTAAAAAATAAATAAGAGTGTAAGTAAGAAATTGTTACAAGAAATTGTCACGTACTTTTTTTTTTATTAATATCTAACTAAATGATTAACTTTATTTAAATCGAATGATTTGTCAACTACAATGATATTTCAACGATTTATTCTTACGAGAATCGAGCTACACGTATTAGATACTGCAGCACACGCATGTGATTATCAACTTTTACAAAAGTGCATCCAACCACCTTCTCTTTTCAAATTACTTGTATCTTTTCTTTGCACCAGTCTTGATTATTGTACTAAGAAGCTAGTTCTAAATAAAATAAGAGAAAGACTCGGAACACTTATCATTATAATGACAAGAAATTTCTACGGGATCACAAAAATGGTCAATATATTCTTAGGGTATGAATAAACACGTTCTATTTTTATCACACGAGGGGAATAAGATTTTAATATACATTTAACACCAGCTGATAAAACAATAAACACAGAAACGTACAAAGTTAGTAAGCACTCTAAGATAGTGAATAGATTTTATTTATATCATAAATGGATCTTAAAACTACTGTACAATCAACAAAATAATACATCAAAGGAGTAAAATATTTTCTCTTATTAATCTGATACGGTTGAAAAAATCTCCAAACTACATCTATATTTAATAAATTTTAATATATTTATATAAAAGCACGATGAAACTTTGTTTATGCGAGAATTGTTTTTAAATTTTACCTACTTGAAGTCAAAGTATACTCATATTGTAAGTTCCCAACATTTGCATTACATGTTAAATTTCAAAGCGATTTAAACGTTTCTGATTATAATAGGTCTCTATAGAGCACTAAATCTTTGGTTATAGTTATTCTAGTTATAGTTATTCTGTGTAAGGCTATTCTTAATATTATATCCCTACATAATGTATAATCTTATTCTGACATTTGCAAATATATTTTTAAATTTCAATAAAGTTTATAAACATATATATTTCTTTGATTTTATCTGTGCGAAGTTCAATCCTAAATTTTTATTACAACAAACAGCTAAAATAGCAATTTTCTTATCCATTGATCCAGAACTTAAGTTATCACTATTCAATATTTTGATATTTATCGCTACTCATTATTATTTTTTTATTTAACTTGGGGCGACAAACAATCTGATGGTTTATTTGGTGAAAACAAATATAGACAAAGTATATTGAGACGTCCGTGGTATCTCTTTTTATATACCTATGTACTTAAGTATTCATATAGACAATTTTTATTCAATATCTTCCGCTGTTTACTAATTTTCATAAATAAATCCATGTACAAAGATAATCCTGTTGCCACACAATGATATTTGATATCTGTTTGATGTGATTCCAATTTGATCTCAATTCAATTGCGTCAAAAGTCAATTTGCAGGTGTCAATTGCTATTCACCTACACAAAGGATAAAATAGAAAATGAAAGCTTGTATTCATCGTAGAATCATATGTAAATACCCCTACACTATTTAAATACTATTAAATGTTTATCAGTAACTAGATGAAGCCTGTGGCTTCGTCTGCATGTAAGTATAAGATAAATGGTTGTATGGCAGTCTGTGATTCTCAAAGAAGTATGAAATTTAATTCTGATTATGAAAAAGTATATTACGGCCTTTGTATTTTTCTCTGCACACTCTTATACATTTGTAAGGAGTTTCATCTTCGTTAAAGAAATTTATATAAATTTTACTATGGTAGAGAAGTTTATATAAATAAAACAAATTTCTTGCAGGTGTAATTCCTTAGGGAGGTCCTAGGGAAAGATATTGATATTTGCATTTCATTATTTTCATATAGAGGGACGTATCCTAGGTTTTTATTAGAAAATATACAATCGTGCTAATTATTTAAAACAAAAATAAAAAAAAATTGCCACCCCTTTTTTCGTCTGAGGTATGGATTTATCAAAAACTTTAAAATACATGTTTATCACTTTAATCCAGAATCACAAATAGTGAATTTTAAGCAGATCAAATTAGCTACTTTTTAAATTTTATTCTAATGTTTATTTTTTTATTTTTATATTTATGTAGAGTTTCCAAAAACGAAATAAGACGTATATATTTATTTTTGCTGAGAAGGTTTGATATTAAATTTCATTCTTCTTGCTTAAAAAATTACAGATGTTTGTATTATAAAATGAAAACACAATTTCAAGTTTTTAACTCATGTGGTTTAAGCTGTATGTTAATGAATTAATTAGGACATTTATATATTGTTTTATTAGATTAATAAATTAATGAAAACTGTGAAGTAAAATGTGCATGCCGATAGTACCTACATGCTACATACTCGTACCTATAACAAATACCTATGTACCGCATCGATAGGCAAGTAACAAGATACGCCATCTGCAGCAAGCGCAGCGCACTGGGATTACATAACCCAATCATCACTAGTATAAATAATAATATATTATTCAACATGAGAATTATTAGAACTCTGCAGATTTACATTTTCTAAATTGACTCTCGCCGTAGATAGCTACTCTCATTCTTTGTTCGAATTCCTTGTTGAAATAAAGAAATTGAATTGTATGAGATCCAATATTTGTACCTACAGGTAGGTAAGCGAAATCTCGCAATCTGATTCTTATTATTAATGAGCTGTGAGATAATGGTTTTCCTGCTTTCAATTGCTTATAAACAGTAATTAGATAGGTGATACCATAAGAACGTCATGTTTTTTTTTCTAAGTAAATAGGAATGCACGTTTAATATTCTAATATATAACATCTTATGTTTCATGTTTCAAGTGAATAATAATTAAATAGCAAAGCTGATTTGTAATATGTAGGCGCTTAAGGCCTCATTTTTGCTATACCCGTTATAGTTTTTTTATGCAACAGCAAACAAGCTGATAGCCCATCTGATGGAAAGTGGTGACTGTTACCTATAGACATGAACAGTAGCCTGGACATCACAGAGTATACTGTGTCATTAGTGATACTCTGGATGTGTTGCCATTTCTGAGGACTAAGGTGTTATGTCTCTGTACCCTGTAGTTTCATAAGATTTTTCCAAAAAGTAAAGGTTTTCGATTCGCGTGTATTGATTGTCAGCTATTTATATTTGTATTGTGGAATAGTACAATCATCGTAAACTTAAAATTTCACGGAGTATTAACAATCAACATCAAAAATACAAGTATAATGTAAATGTGGCTTTAGCATTCAGATATCTCGAACACACCCACACATACCTCAAACAGAGCAAACAAAAAATATATACAACTGAACCAACATTTTATGCTGTATTCTATTATATGATTCAATTTGCCTCGATTCTGCGTATATATTAAAATTTACATCTTACTTTAAGGAATACAATGTCAAAAACTTAAATTTCTTTTTATTTTGTTAGAAAATTTTATTATCTTTATTCTATCACAAATTCCTAATAATCCTGTGATAGTATCTATCACTGTGTTTATATAAAGAGATATAACAAACATCTGTTTCTCTCTAGCTTTAAATTCTATTAGTGAATTAGTTTTAGTTAACGAATTATTAAACAAGTCTTACCGACAATTCAATCCTGGAACTAATTTAAGCAAAGCAA